GACGAAACGTTTCATTAGAGAAGAACCCGTCCAGAAGACCTATACAATTTTTTTTCTTTTTGATTTTTTACCTGGATTACTGAGATGCATCAGGACAATTCAGTAGAACATCTTTATGTTCTTCCAAAAGTGGTCCTGCAGTAAATTCTGTTTGGGCATGCAAGAAATTAAGATCTTTTAAATTGTATCTGAAAAGGTTTAGATTGCAGTGCTAAAATAGCGTCCTATATGATGTTGTAGGAAAAGAAACAAAAGTTGCTTTTGAAGGCATGACAAAAGTCCTGTATGTTTATTCCTGTCTTAAGTTTATTTAAACAGAGCTTCTTTAACTTGTATTTTAGAGGATGAACAAACACAAAGTCGTACAGTATATAGTAGAAATGCTGGAAAATCACATGAAACAACACAATCAGTCAATGGAGGTGTATTTAGTTTAAATCACATTTTCATAAATATCTGTTGTGCAACACTTTGACAGATACCTTTTTTATTAATATGTTATTAGATTTATTATCTTGGTCAGTAATAGAGAAATACAAAATATCTGACACAGCATTTTTCTATCAAATTATTGCCACATCATTGAGAGATTGTCAGATTTACGATCAGAGAAAATGATGAACAGCAGCTTTTGCTGACACCTTGATTAGATTTTACAGTGTGTGACTTTCTGCTCAGTTGGTTTATTGCTCTCAAGCAGGAAATAAGAAGCAAAATGTGCCTTCAGGACAAAAAGAACTGAAGTTTCTGTTGACTAATGGCCAAATGGCAGAAATATTTGCAGCAGATAAAGAAATAATCTGATGATGATGCTTTGATGATACTGATGCTTAAAATGACGGTCATTGTTATTTTTTTAAGAAGTGAGGCTATATTCCTGCTGATCTGTATAACTGATTTGAACTGCTGTAACAGGTCTCCTCCAACTGGAGCTGGGTTAAAGAGATACTTCTGTGTTTTATGGAAAGGGTTTGAATAATGAATAGCTTACTTGTCATTGATAGCTCTTTAAACTGCCTCAGTTTGGATAAACAGTGTAAATGTCGGCTCATGAGCTAATGGCTAGTCTAAACTAAGCCGAATTAAAGTAGATTCAGAGTAACAAATTTTAAAATGGTTCTTGTAAACTCAATAAACATCTTTAGTTTGCTACTGGAATACATTTTACTATTGTTTACTTAGATTTCTCCTGCCATTTGAAAGTACAAAAGCCGGAGCAGCTGGTTGTTATCAGTTCCATTGCTGCTAAATGAGGGCCGCCACCAGGGGGCGCTAGAGAGGCCTCAGAAAGCCCAAGGGAAGATGGGGAAAAAAAAGCAAAAAAAAAGTAATAATAATATTAATAAATGTTTTAAATTATTACCATAAATCAAATATGTTGTTCAATCATTGTTTTAATATATAATTTATAATAATATATTGAAATGTTGTGTGGCTCAGTTGGTGGAGTAGTTGCCTCCCACAGAGAGGTTAAATCCTGGCCTGGAACCTTTCTGGGTAGAGTTTGTATGTTCTCAAAGACCAAAAACATGACTGTTAAGCTAATTGATAACTCTTAATTGTTCCTACACGTGAGTGAGAGTGAATGGTTGTTTTTCTCTATGTGGTCCTGTGATGAACCTGTGAGCTGAAAAGGGTGTACCCCTCCCCTCACACAGGGACTGCTGGATATGGGCACCAGTGACCCTAACTCTTTTTTTTTGACCCCCATGAATCTGAAAGGAAGAAATGGGTAAAAGAAAATGGGTGGATATTAAAATGTTGCTAAAGATAACTTTCAAGAAGTTTAATTTCTTTTGTTCCGCTCTTATAGTCAACAGTTTGTTGAAAAGTAGTTTTTTTCCCCCATGGGAGCACAACAATGTTTAAAAAATGTTAGTTAATCAAATTCTTATGTTAAAAAATGTAGTAATTATTGAATGGTGAATAAAAATGTGTAAAAACACTAGAAAAGTGGATGTTTCTTAACATATTTTGTAACACTGCAAAAACAGTCCATCTTACCAAGTTGTAAAATCTTATATCAGCCAAAAAGTCTTTTTGATCTTGTTTTGAGACTGATTTACTAAACAAGAAATGATTGTGTAAGAATAATGATCTTGTTTTCAGAATGTGTAAGATTATTAGTATGGAGGACCAAACCTATCATTATTGGAAATAAATGTACAAATATATAACTGGCGTATTAAAATAAATTTTAGGGTCAAAAAGAAGTTTGACAAATAAATTATTGTGCCGTTAAATCAATTACATCAATTATTTAGGTATAAATGTGTATTTACATTTTAATTTTGAAGGATTATATTTTCTCTGTTGTGGAATACTTATTTCTATATCACCATGACACTGTCCACTTGTTCATATCTCATTGATATCCCTGGACGTCATCATTGAGTTGACC